AAGACATTTACTTTCATTTTAAAAGTAAATTTTTTTTACATAAATTTAAAATTTATTTGAAGGGAAGTTTAAAATTGACTTTTATAATAACTTTTAATTAAGTTTTGAAAAAATTTAGATTTGTAATTTTTTCAAAACTTGTTTAAAAATCACTTTAAAAATTAATTTTCAAACTTTACTGAATTGTTAAATTTGTAAAAAAAAAAGATTATTTTTAAACAAGTTGTCTTTTAAGTTTGACAAATACTTTTAGAGATATTTCCTAAAGTTACTTATAAAATGTTAATACTAAAATAAAGATGAACTAAATTTAATATTTTATTTAAATTTATATATTAACACAACATAACATGTAATAAGTTAAAGTTTTATAATAATTTATAAACATAGTTGATAATGGAGATAATTTCATATTCATTGAAAAGTAAGCTCCTCGATGTCTGCCAAAGGTCCTTGTCATCAAACACTATTTAAATGGATGCATGAACGAGGTACGAAGATTGAGCTTAAGAAGTTCAAAATCTTGAATTAAAAACATTAACCTATTAGCTAGTGTCCACATATATTTGCTTTGAACTTGTCATACCTACCTAAGTGTGAATCATGCATGTGCCAGAATTACTTGAATGATGACCTATGCACTTACGCATTGTGATTTGTGAGCATGGAAAAGAACTTTTGCTACTCCAATAGCTAATTTTTGTAGGAATCTGCAATTCTGAAACAAAAGGCGACAATCAAAGAGTCTTACTATTTTATTTTGGGTGCTGATTCTGCTGAAAACACTGTGTCTTTGAGGGAAGCAATATCGAAAATTGTATTTGCATGACTTGGATTAGTTTAGTAATTTTATGGGTCTGATTTACATAACAGGTAACATTAAGTGACTTATTACATATTTCAATATTACATTAGAATTTAAAAAATAACTTAATAATTTTATGAATCTATTTAAATTACTTTTTCCTTCTATAATTTTTCGATGTAAGATCTTAATACTTTTGTCTCGGTGGAGAATGGAAACATCTAATTAATGAGTCTTTGAGGGATTCCAGAGATGGATTCGATTACTTTGGTTTTAGCAGTTGGTGCGGATTCGATCACCG